TTTGTCGCATCTTCTGTTAGGAGAAGCATGTTGTGATAATGAAGATTTGCTGAAGGCAGATAACACAAATACACCAGGGCTTAGGGCCATGGTTGGAGATCTCAGTAACATGGTGGATTGTTCCAGTAATGGCACCAGTGAATCATACCTCCTGGTATCCATACCCTCTAGTAGTCCTTTCCCACATTGACTCTGGCCTTGGCTATGTGACTTGCTTTGGCAACAGGGCGTTAACAAATGTGACCCAAGCAGAGGCATAACAAATGCTTTCTTAGTTGGGCTTGCTCCATCTCTTGCTGCTTTTGGAACACGGCCACTATGTGAAGAAGTCTTCTGGCCTCTTGCTGACCCATGGTCCAGCTGACAGCTGGCACCATTTGCCAGATGTTTGAGTGAGGCTTGGACTAAACAGCCCCATATGAGCAGACAGATGACTATAAAAACACGAGCAACCCCAGGGGAGACCAGAAAAGGAACCACCCAACTGAACTCTGCCCAATCTGCTGACCACAGAATCAGGGAGAATAAAATTGTGGTTATTTAAGCCACTAAGTATTGGATTGGTTTGGTATACAGCAATAGATATTTGATACAACAAGTGCAGAATCTCCAAGTTAGGTGGAAGGGAGGGGCGTTGGTGGGAAGAAAGAGAGTTGAAGTCTCCTTCATCATTTTCTTCTTTGAAGTTGGGATCAAGGATTTGCATCTAGTTCTTGTAAATGGATCCTTGAATCCTAGATGGGCCAAGAAGCTCCTTCTTACATATCTGGCCAAGTACACTTGGTTTCAGGAAAAGCATAGGTAATTTTTCCTTGTCCTTCTTAGTGAAGCACACAGGTAGGTTTTCCCTCTTGCATTTCCCTCGGTCTCAATTTTTCTATTTCGTTCAGAATGCAACAAGGATCAGTTGGCCTGGACTTTTCTTATTAACTCAGTGGGTGGCTATTATCAAGAGATTTTGTAGAATATTATGAGAATAAAAGGGTTCTTGGGAAATAGGTGAAAAGATAAGATTTTAAAATGACTGAGAAGTATGATATTTTCTAAAATGTCTGTATACAGCCTGCAACCATCTTGCCTTCAGCACATCTTTGAGATAATAAAAAAATCCATTTTGTCTTTGTCCTAATGTTTCTGATATCTTCCCTCTGGCAGCCACAAGTCAAAGAGTTTATATAAAACAAAACCGTGAGGACTTCTGCTTATTTTCATAAATAACTCTAAAACTAGACAAATGTATAAGGCAACTATTTTCAGGTATTGAACAAGAAGCACAATCCCCAAAAGAAGGGAAACTCACTCCCTATGTTCATCCAGGTCTCTTCCCAAGTTTCCAACTGTGGTACAGAAAGCTGGAGTCCGCGCAGAGTGTGATAGTCTAGTTGACCTAAGAGGCAGAGACAGGAGTTGGGGGCTACTCAAGTGGATGGAAACTGCATATCAGGGCACTGGGGAATAGGGAGCTGTGCTGGATGATGAAAGAAGAGTGAGGAGTCTGTATGGGAGTTGCCATGAATTCTTCACCGAGGACTGGGACCCATATTCTGGGGCAAGATTATACGGAGCTTATCATGGCAGGCCTGAGGGTAGAACAGAGGTACCAGAGGTTGAATGCTACTGGAAGATGTTGGAGTTCTGACCTAGCCTAAGAAGAGAGTTCTTGTTAGCACCCCAGGCATTTATCTGAGACACCAGAGAGGTCCTACTCTAGAAGAAATGACCATGTTGTCTTATAGTAAGGCTTACTCTAGACCTACCCTATTAAAGCCTAAAAATCCAAGCTTTGTCAAGATGTTCAGAGAGACAGTTTGGACATTTCCACTAAGTTATAGAGAATGAGGATCAACTAGAGTTTTCCACAGCCTAAAACCTAGGCTAACAAGTTCAAATTTAGTAGCTAATAGTTAGTTTGACTGTCAAAGACATTACAAGAAAAAAACTATCAACCGATGCCCCTCATTAACATAGATGTAAAAATAAAAATTTTAGCAAATCAAATCCATCAATAGCTAGAAAAAAAGTAATACCTCACGACCGTGTAAGGTTGATCCTAGAAATATAAGGATGGTTTAACATTTGAAAACTAATATATGTAATCCATCACCCCAACAAAATAAAGGAGAAATAAATAATCTCAGTAGAAACTGGAGAAAACATTTGATGAAATTCTTACAACCACGTATGATAAGATCTCTCAGCAAATTAGGAATAGAAAGAGTCTCCAACATTGATAATGAACACAGTAACTATATCTGCAACAAATATAGTTACTGATGAAACATCAAATGTTCTCTAAGAATGAGAATATGGCAAAAATATTTGCTCTCACCACCTCTATTCAATATTGTACTAGAGGTCCTAGCTAGTCATATCAAGCAAGAAAAAAGGAATAAAAGGAACAAATATTCAGGAAGACTGTTTTTATTCACAAATGACATGACAGAAAAGCCTGAGTCTATAAAAAAAAACAAAGAAATAAACAATTAGAATTAATGTTTCAGGATGCATCCAAGAAAAAAAAAACAACTGTATTCTATATAATAACAACAAACAACTACAAAATAAACATTAAAAAACATTTAGGATAATATCAAAAACAAAATATTTTTAAATAAATGTAACAAAAAACATAAAAGATTTGTATACTGGAAACAATAAATATTCCTGAGAAAAATTTAAAATTCTAAATAAAGAGATGTACCGTATTTATGGATTGGCACATTCAATATTGTTAAGATGTTAATTTGCCCCAAGTTGAATTCAATGTAATGACAACGAAATTCAATGTAATGACAACCAAAATTATAGAACTCATTTTTGTAAAAATTGAGAATCTGATTCTAACATTTACACAGAAATGCCAAAGGATAGTAAAACAACAAGAATAGTAAAAACAATTTTGAAAAAGAAATTGGAGGATTTATAGAAGGCTTCATGACCTTCTATAAATGCTATAGCAATCAAGACAATATGGAATAGTCAAAGGGTAGACAGACTCAATGGAACAAAATGGAGAATCCAGAAATAGATCTACATGTATATGATCAATTCATTCTGACAAAAGTAACAAGGTAATTCAATGGGAAAGGGATAGTCATTTCAACAAATGGTACTGTAACAATTGGATATCTATATTAGAAAAAATAAACCTTGGCCCACAGTCTATACCATACAGAGAAATTAATTCAAAATAAATCACAGATCTAAATGTCACAGATAAACTACAAAACTTCTAGGAGATCATGTGGGAAAAAATAATGTGTCAGCTTAGGATAGGCAAACATTTCCTAGATAGGACACAAAAAGCACTAATCTTCAAATTTAAAAATGGTAATTTGAACTTCACCAAAATTAAAAACTTCTTCAAGATATACCATTAAGAAAATGAAAAGCAATCCAATGGCTGGAAAAAATATTCATACATATACATATATCTGACAGAGAAATCATAATCAGAATATACAAAGAACTTTTATAATTCAACAATGAGAATGCAAACAACCCATTAAAAATGGGAAAAGGTCTTAACACTCTACAAAATAAAATATATAAAGAACATAATACACATTAATAATAAGGAAGACAATCCATTAAAACAGGAAAAAGACCTGAACAAACACTGCACCAAAAAAATATGAAAACTGTCAAGAACAAGTCTATCAAAAGATGCTCAACATCATTATTCATCAGGGAAATGCAAATTAAAACCACAGTGAGATACCACTTCACACATACCTGAATGCAAAAATTTTAAAAGACTATGAATATCAAACGTAGGTGAGTATGTGGAACACCAGGATACCTCACACATTGCTAGTGAAATGCAAAGTGGCACAACCATTATGGAAAACAGTTTGTCAGTTTCATGTGAAATTAAACATGAACTTACTATATGCCCTAGCAATTGTACTTTAAGGTATTTATCCCCCATTCTTTCAAAATAAAATGTCCACTAAAGACTGGTAGACTGATGTTCACAGTAGCTTTATTCACAAGAGCCCCAAATTGTAAACTATTCAAATGAACTCAAATGTGCACACAGGTGAATGATATATTCATACCTGTATATTCATACAATAGAGTACTACTCAGCAATAAGCAGAAAAGAAATACATGAAATAACATGGATGCATCTCAAAAATATACTGAGCGAAAGAAGACAGACACAAATGAGTACATGATGTATGATTCCTTTTCTATGACATTTGAAAAAAGGTACAACTAACAGGGATACAGTTCAGATCAGAGGTTGCCTGGAATGTAACTGACAGCAAAGTAATACTGAGGGAACTTTCTGGGGTTGATGGAAACATTCTACATCTTGACTGAGGTGATTTCACAGTGCATACGCTTGCCAAAACTCATTGAGCTGGGCACTTAAAATGAGTGGATTTTATTGTATGTAAATGATGCTTTAATAAAATTAATTTAAAATTTTCAAATCCTTTAGTGATAAAAATAACAAAAAAAATCCAATAGCAAAAACAATAGTAAGCCATGAGGAATGTCTTATTAAGTTTTCTTTTTATTGAAGAAAAATAATTTATTACTCATCTTTATTCAGTTATGAAGGATATAAAATACTGAATTGTAGTATCATAAAATTTAAGGAGAGTGCAAATTTCGATTCAAATACAACGATGATTAAATCTTTTCACATTAACAAATTTAAACTTTACAAAGGAGAGAGAGATATTAACTGTCCTATTGTTATAATGGAGAAAATGAACTAAGAGAGGTTAAATAGCTTACCTAGAGTCACAGTAAAGAAATTGAGATTCCAACTCAGGTCTTTTGGCACTAAATCCAATGCTCTTTCCACTACACTATGTTGTTTGTTTTCTCATGCATCCCTTTTAAAATATACTGAATAACCAAAGTTAGCAATGTCTTTTCCATTGCTAGGCCTTAGGTTGCATTTCCTTTGATGTTATTAGATTTTGAAAAAGGCTTTTTCACTTGACACTGAGTTTTTGTTTTTATTTTTGTTTTTTTTCCAGAAATCTTCCCAATCATTACTTTTCCAGAGATGTGGGGGATCTTTATCTTTCTTGCAAAAGGTATGGAATCTTTGAACAGTCAAATTAAATAGAGTCTTATAAAGCATTTCCTCTCCCCAACTTACATTGCTGATGAGAGTAGAAGTTGATACAGTATTTCTGGAGGGTAGTTTGGCAATAGGCATCAAAACTCTTAAAATCTGGTATATTCTTGAGCTGAGCACTTACTCTTCTGGGAATTTATCCCAAGGAAATTATCAGAGATATGTGTATGGGTTTATGTGCACGGATGTTCATCACAGCATTATTAACAATAGCAAAAAAATTGGAAACAAGATAACTGTTTGTGTCAGAGACTTTTTTTTCTTCCATCGTCACATCTTTTTTTCCTCAGCAATAACTCTGGTTTTGTAGATGGGCACATTGCCACCCAGTAAAGCATTCATACATTGGCCATCCCTTGTAGCTAACTTGTGGCTATTGGAAGTGTTGTGAGTCAACATTCACTAAGAAGTCTCTGTTCTTTGGCCATTTCTCTTTGGCTTACTGGATTCTGGATGTAATGGTTAGATCTGAACCATTTTGGAACACAAGGCAACACTCTAAGGATGGCAGAATAACAAGAAGGAGCCTGGGTACTGTGGGAATGTCCGTGCATGCCTTGACACTTAATTTGCATGAAAGAAAATAACCTCCAATTTAGTTTAAGCACTATATTTACATTTTCCTGTTAGAAATAGCCAAGCTTAATCTAACCAACGCTATGTTCAACGGCAAAGGAACGGTTAAATTATGATATATACATAGGGTATAATACCAAGCAATTGTTAAAATGACATCATATAACACTCTATTAACATGAAATAATTTTCACAATGTAAGACTAAGACACAACAATAGGCTACATTCAAAAGCAGGATATGAACAATATTTGTAAATATAATTTTTGTTGTATATGTACATATACATGTGTGTACATGTATATATAGATGTTTTTCTGTGTGCACATATATCTTTTATCTCCCTCTCTATATAGAAAATATTATATATAAATATACACATGTATAATATAAAATATAAATAATAATAATAATAATACATGATATAAAATGTTGCCAGCTGTTATGTTTGAATAGTGTCATTAGAGGTTTTTTTAAATGTGAGGTTTTCTTGTGTTTCTCACATTGGGCATGTATTACACTGGTTATAAGAGAGGAACAGCTGTCCAAATAAAACACTCTTTTTCCGAAAATGAAGCAAGTTTAAGTGTGATTCACTAATTTTAAACAAAAAGGCTATATATCATAACATAAATAAAAGAAATAGAAATTAAATATTGAGGAAGTCTTATACTTTTACAGTGTACATTTTAAAATATGTACTGCCATTGCATATCTTGTTATATTGATGCATGAGTGGTTATGATTACTCTTTAAAACTGTGCACAAGCCAATTATTTAGTAGATGGGTGAATGTATATACTTTATAGCTCTTACTCAAATAGGATATGAAGCACAGGGACATTCTAAAGATGACATCTAGCGGTTGCTGTGGTAACCTTATGGGCTCAATTTAGTAATCTTTTATGTCAATTTCTAGAGTTGGAATTGGCATATTCTTAGCTTTAACATACAGGAAGGAGACCGTGATCGGTGGCATTAACCCTTACAGACTGTATTTGTGATTGCTATTCAGCGTTAAAGAGAGTAGTCAAGTCACAGTAGAGGTGTTGAAGAACAGCCAGAAAATGATTAAAGGAATCTAAAACTTATCTTAGAATTGTCATGGCAATTATTTGCAACTATTTGGATGGAACCAGAGGGTATTATGCTAAGTGAAATGAGTCCGTCAGAGAAAGACAAATATCATATGACTTCACTCATACGAGGACTTTAAGAGACAAAACAGATGAACATAAGGGAAGGGAAACAAAAATAAAATAAAAACAAGGAGGGGGACAAAACAGAAGAGACTCATAAATATGGAGAACACACTGAGGGTTACTGGAAGGGTTGTGGGAGAGGGGATGGGCTAAATGGGTAAGGGGCACTAAGGAATCTACTCCTGAAATCATTGTTGCACTATATGCTAATTTGGATGCAAATTAAAAAGAAAGAAAGAAAGAAAAAGGATTGTCATGGCAATTAAAAAACAACTGTCATTCCAGGTAAAAATAAAAATTTGTGATTATTATAGAACACTTACAACGCAATTAGCACAATGCTTAGTGCTTTATAAACACCATCTCATTTACATCTGTTCCCTGACTTAAACCTTAGAAGAGTCCTACAAAGTGGTATGATCGCTGTTATTTTACAACAAAAAAACAAAACTGAGACTTAGAGAGTTTAGATGAGTTGTTCAAAGCCACATGGTTAGGGTATGGCGGTGCCAGGATTCACACCCAAGTCATCTGCCCACACTCTTAACCCCTGCTCTATGTAGCATCCAGGCGTTTGCCTATGATACCTGGTCTGGGTCTGTCATAAAGGTTCCCTTTAAGGGAGACACCACAGCAACGCTGGCTTATCTAATCTAGTCTGAATCAGCCAAATTTACTAAACAACCACTTTGAGCATGATACTGTTGCTATTTACAAACGTATGATGGGCCCTTCTTATGACATGAAAGTGCACAGCCAAGCTTACAAAAAACACTATGCCATATCGTAATTTGATTTGGGAGTTGAGCTCTGTAGTAAGGCAGAATGGCAGAAGTGGGGGAAAGCTAATTATAGTGTTGGAAGACACGCAGTGGAGAGACACATTACAGCTGAGGCAGCGAGAAGGCACTTTCCCCCAAGAGCTGACCTTTGAACAAGCTCTCAAGCCTTGCTTCTCAAAGAGCAGCCATGGAGCTACATCAATGGCTTGTTGGAAGTACAGAATCCCACGTTCTACCCGAGACCTAGATCTAAATCTGCTTTCATACAGGATCCTCAGGTGATTTGCAGCCGCATTAATGTATTAAAAGTACTGCTTTAAAGAACGCATAGCATGGTAATAGCACATGCAGAGGGAACCACACTGTAGGAACAGAGAACAACAATGTGAGCAAAGCACAGCAGTAGGAATAAATAAAACAGTTCCAGGGCAATCTCCTATCTAGTTGCACTGGAGCATAAACAGTGGAGTGCACGATATTGAGTGGTAGAAAGATAGGTAGGGCTGAATTCACAGAGGGTCTAAGAGCTGTATCTTGTTTTAGAGGTAGTGGGGATAACTAAACATTTTTGATCAGGAAATGATAATTTTTATTTAATAGCCTCTTTAAATATATAAAGTTTTGTGATAGATTTAGAACTTAACTTTTGTGTCATATGTGATTCTTTCGTATATTCCCTTTTACCTTCACACTACCAAATTGTATTACGATTGTTATTATTTAACATTTACTTTGAGAAAGAGGAGGGGAGGGGCAGAGAGAGAGGGAGAGAGACTTCCAAGCAGGCTCTGCGCTGCCAGTGCAGAGCCTGATGCTGGCTCGAACGCACGAAACGTGAGATCATGACCTGAGCCGAGACCAAGAGTCAGAGGCTCAACCGACTCAGGAACCCCCAAATAAATATATTACTAATAGGTGTTAAGTTTATGGATGTTATTAAAAGAGAATGGGGTGTGGTTTTCCATAAGAGATTCTTAAATACAGAAAAGAACCTGAGGGTTGCTGGAGGGGTACTGGGTGGAGGGATGGGCTAAACGGGTGATGGGCATTAAGGAGGGTACTTTTTGGGATGAGCACTGGGTGTTATATGTAAATCATGAATCACTCAATTCTACTGAGATCATTAATACACTGTATGTTAACTAACTTGGATTTAAATAAAATTTAAAAATTAAAAAAATGAAAAAAAATAAAGTAATACAAGAGTACTGAGCACCCCTCCTCCAAAAAAAAAAAAAAAAAGACAATGGAGTAAATCCTGAAGTCAAGCAGGAACACTTGAGAATTCTATAGCCATTGCCCATTCACTGTGAAGGGTTGGATGGTTAAATTGACCTGGGAGATTTAAAAGCGTACAGCACGTTGTCCTTCAGGAATAGATGGGGCGAGCAGATGAAGTATTGTCCTGCTGTATTTTGCATTGGTCAGGCACTCTGCTCTCAGGCTGAGAAGGGACCTCATATCCCTCCTCCAGCCTCCTTTGATGAGGTTTCTGGGAGAGACAGAAGCTATTTTGTAAAGCTGTCAGCTGTCCTGAATCAGGGAAATAGATAAAGCAGCCAGGAACCAGAGAAACAGATAAGAGGTGAATTCTCAGGAACGAGGGGGAGCCTTGTCTGCCTTGGATTAAAAGCAGAAGGGAAGAGGATTTTGGAAGGAGGGGCTGAGTCGACTGATGGAATCTTCAGCTGCAGGCTGACAGCAGTGTTACAGAGACAAAATGAGTCAACAAAGATATCCAGTGGTTGGTTGAGAGACAAAGGACAAGGGACGGATAGGTGCAGCTGGATGCAAGACGTTTCATGTTGGGGTGACTGCATTTATCAGGGAGGGTGAGCTGGAGGGAAAAGGCGAAAGATAAATGAATCAAACTTTCTGTTCCTGCATGTTGGGCCCTGTTAAGTAGGACATTCTTTTGTTTCCACCAGTTGGTGACTTAATCAGGTCCCATGGGGAAGCTGAAAGACTGGTATAGGATCTTGGAAAGATGTGCACTTCTCCCAGTCAGGGCTGGGTATAACGGCTCATGATCTGACAACCCATCTGATACACTTGACATCCCCTGACACATCTAATGACAAAGAGCTGCAATTAAAAAAATTTTAAAAAACCCATCTGGAAAAGGGAAAAACACACACAATGGCCATTGCCCATAGTATCTTCATAGTGTCCTCAAAACATCTACTCCAACGAACTAGTCTACTAGGTCTCTGTAACAGGCTCTGTGCCTGTCCTTCTCCACAATTTGTTCACATCACTCCCAGGGTTTGTGTGTCTTTGGCAGTTCTGGCTGCTTGTGATTGTACCCGGAAACTCTTGAGATCGTTTCTTGTTTGCGCTTGATACAACTTTCTCTTTGTCATTTGGCACTTGTGACCTTCTCTGAACTCTGATGGTTTAATTTTTAAATGTTTCATTATATTCTTCTACAAAGCTGTGAGCTTTATCGTATTACCAATATTTGATCCAATATCTGTTGGTAAAGGCCCCGAAAGTGCTTTGACTACTGTGAGCCTGAGCGTCTGTGTAGAGTAGGGACAGAGAGGTTCAGCTAAGAGGGAGAGAGAGGAAGATAAAATAAGGCACAGATAAAAAGTTTCTTCTCGATCTTTATTCTTTTATTCTCTTCTTGCTTTGCTACAATCTCTGGATGGGGGGCAGGTTTTCTCTCTACAGTGTGACGAGAATACAAACTATGATCCTTGAGCCAATGACTGAAGTCAAGCACCAAAGTCAATTTCGTTGGCTCACTTGGGGTTTGAGACATCCCTGAAACAAAAAGGTAAGGTATTTTTAATTATGCATTGATTTACTGTCCTTCATGCAGCTAGAATAATAAAATCAGCAATTTAAAAACTAGTCTTACGTGGTATTTTAAGATTATATGGTTTTGACGATATGTTTATTAACATAATAATCCTATGGGAAAATTTTCTAAGAGAAGATTGTATCATTTAAATCCTTGTTTTATGTACAGGGGAATTTGTGATTAGTATTGATACTCTATCATCGTTCTCTCTGATTTTCTCTAGGTTAAAGCACTTAAAGAGTTGATAAAACATCATTTGTTTCTATGCGATGCTTGTAGACAGTATTTTGGCTGACTTTAGGGCTGAATTATTTTCCCTGAAATCATTTCACAAAAAGGGCCAGCAATTTGCTGATAAGTTTTCTTATAAATGACTACACAGTGAAGACATACTAACACATTGATTACACAATGGAGTAATAGGAATGAGATAATGGTACTTCTTATGTGATGATGTAAAACAATTTCTCTGTTTTGGGGGCTCATACTCCTAAAGATTAACTTTAGTTTTTTCAAGGTATGATTTTTAAAAA